GCCACAGTAGTCGGGTTAAAATTTCGCACACACCATCTATTCACCAGCCGAAGAAGCAAACCATGCATTTCCGTCAGTGGAAAATAAGCAGCGAGACGCGCGCTGGTCTGATGACAAACATTTACTGCTTTACTTAGTAACACTGTGCTCATAAACCCGTAACTGGAATACTTACTATTTTACACAGGCAGTGTATTCGCTAATTCAGTGATCTTTGTTTTTATAAAAAAAATTCAAAAGCAACACTCATTGAAGGCCTATGTTAAAGGCTTTCTACTTTTTTCCAACTTTCTTAACCATATCCTCTCAACCTTTCAACTTTCTATAATATGGCTACCTTCTCCATTTAGGAAAGGAGGTGTCAGCTTCCTTTCCCACATAAGACCAAGGTCGTAGGTCAGTCTTACACAGAACTTCAAGTTTACTTGTGAACTACACTGAAATTTCAGTTATACATGCCCTGGTTTCGCAACAACCTGAATTTTGCGACGAATCGGTATGGTTTCGGCGAAATCCCCACACAAATCATGTGTTAAAAACCTTGGTAGTACGATGCAGTTTTGCACCAACCATGCATCTTACGAAAACTTTCAAAATCTACACGGGAGAAAAAAAAACCTTTACTCAAACGAAACGTACTCAGGAATGCAAAATAAAAATATTCACGCGCTCAAAATATGAACTCTCTTTCCTCTAGGTCACACCTGCCAAGTTCAAGGATTCCGAATCCGGGAGATTTCCCCAACGGGTAGGGGGAGGTGGGAGGGGCTGAAATAATTGCCTCTAGTTTTTTTTTTTTTTTTCAGCACCAAAAAAAAACGAAGACAAAGAAACAAACATCAGAAAAAATGGGGGGTGGGGGGGTCTAAATCGCAAGCGCCACCATCAGCGTTGCAGTTTTATGGTGGCTTGGAGTGGCCGAACACACGAGGGTAGGGTTTCCCAGAAAGATGAAGTCTCAAAGGATGAACACAACAGAATCTACTTCCGTCGAAACAACTCACTTATGTCTTCCCAAAACACACGTGAACGGACGGGATGGCGCAGTTGGCTACCGCGAACGCGCGGGTTAAAATTTTTGCTCACTACTAGATTCTTACTTATGACAGGAATGCCAAAATGCGTCTGGCCCTTTTTATTCATTATGATAGCAATGTATATGCATTTTGGGCTGGTATTCTTGCCGCCGTCGCCTTCATTCACCGTATGTATACGAATCTATATTTATATGAACACTCAAGAAAGAAAAAAAAAACCCAGCTCGTCGCGACGTGCACGCATACTTTGCCCCACGGATTGGGGGGGGGGGGGGGGGGGGGGGGTTAGATGCTTATGCGTGCGCGCTTATCCTTTGGTGGAGAGAATCGTGTGCCTTCGGCTTTAACCGTAACGATTGCGCTAGCTGCTGGGCCCACAAAGATCACTTCGGTCTCCGCACAGGCCCAGTTTCCAAAAAGAGCACGCTTTTCATACCAAGCGAGGTATAACAACTGGGACAGTTGTTAGTTTGTACTCATTAGTACCTGTGATTACCTACCGTGCATCGTTTTTCTTTAAACAGTGTGTTACTTGTCGAGCGGTAAACGTTGTTAGTTTGCTCTTGTCCTGTGTGTATCGTTTTCGTGTGTCATCTGAGCGAGAGCAGCACGCTGCACGTTCAATCTGGTTGCCGTTTTCAGCATGACACTCCAAAGTTGTTGCTGTCACATTCACTTCTTCGCCCTTATGACAATACTGTACCTTTTGATGTTTTTTTTTTTACGTATTTACGGCCTTTAACCTACCGCTGAGCGCCCTCTGAGCTCGTACACCGCTATCGCGCTGCCGCGACCACGGTTTTGTACACTTGGATGTGCAGGCACTAAAACTAAGTCGTTTTATGCGATCCAAGATCGCATCTGCCGCAGTTCTGTCCGCAGAGTTTGCGGAAAGCAGCGCCGATTTGACTGGTTGAGCGCACACTTTTGGGGTTCTGTCAGTTACGTTGTCGCCATACATGATCGTGTCAAGTGTGACCGCGGTTTCGTCCACAGCAGTTGTGGCAACGACAATGAATCACACGCACTGTAGAAGACAGTGCATGCGCCGGTTGCACGCGTACTTCTAAAGTTTCAAGTATGCTGCTCTCGGCCTTCGTTCGACGGTTTCCGTACTAAAGTTTATATTAACTGCCGCGAGTAGGAAATGTGTTCGAAGCATTCGAATTTAGGCCCAATGAGCATAGTGGAAATTGGCTGGAGATTTTCACAAATTCGTATCTGCCGCGGTTTCAGATCACTGATATTCTGCTGTATGTTTATATGAACTCCTCTTAAACTCATTTATAATAAAATGAAGTAGGTTCAAAAAGCCTGGAGCGGATTGAGCTGCTTCTTTGCCGATGCGGCCAGATCACGCACAGAAATTTCGATTTCCGGGAAATTTTCATGACAACTGTACAAACGAAAGAAACAGTCGAAATCCGGGAGTCTCCCGGCCAAGCCGGGAGACTTGGCAAGTATGCTATAGATTGACATTTTAAACGTAGAGAGAGAGAGAGAGAGAGAGAGAGAGAGAGAGAGAGAGACAGGATGTCTTCGTAGAATGTCTTCTCAAAAATTTATTCTCCTCGAAGTTCAACGCTTCAACATCGCGAGCATACGTACCCGAGGTCATTACCTAGTCAAGCTCTATTCACTCATAGTAGCTTCAGCCGACCGAAATGCTAATATTTTCATGTTCTCAGACCATGAAAACTTTTCCTGGTCGGTATACAGCTGATATCCTGCCTTTGTTGCACCCTTGATGGATAACGGCACAACACTGCTGTTTTCAGCATGCAAAACTACTTTCACTTGGCGTCAACGTTCATAATGAGAGCCGAATACCACTAGTAGCACTTTACAAAGCAACAAATTATAACGTGCACAGCTAAGTCGCCCACGAAGGCATTCTATGTAAACTCACAGTCCGTCACCATTATGTAACAGGGACCCTGTGTCCAACTCTTCTGATGGGAGGCTCTGTTGGCAATGCAAGTTCGTTTTTGTTTTTCTTTTTCGTCACATAGGCATTGTTCGGACTTTAGCACTGCAAAAATGTGCACTGAATTAGTTTTTTTTTTTTTTTTTTTTTTGAAGGTTGAGAATAAAGATTCTCTTGCACCTCCTTCAACTAAGTAATACTGCCATCAGCTGCTACCCCTGGCAAGGATAATTCAATCTACCTTCCTTGCAGAGGCATAAGGTCTTGTCCTGGGCTTATTCAGGCTATCTGTACACGTTTTTTGGGCAAGGCTGTTGGGCACTGCCTATAATCTTAGTTTTCCGATTATACGACACCAAGATTATACGACAGTTTCGCGTAGTCCCCTGAAAGCCGTATCATAGAGGTTCCACTGTACCTGTTGTACGTCAACCATGTACCAGCTGAACAGCTTGTTTTCTTCTTTTTTTTTATCATACATAAATATCCTTTTGCCACTACAGTTTCTAGCTTTACTCTTGATGTACTGATGCAAGATTATTATGCTAAATTTTATAATCTCCTTCCTCCAAATCTCTGAGCTAATCATAATTCTATATTGCAGTCATTTCTTACTCCTGTTTAGCTTTCCATGGAGCTCGGTATATATGCATACTGCATATTGCACTGCACCTAAAATGACAGACCAGTAATACTGTGGAACATAAGTGATAACCACCGTGCTCCTCAACGGGTGTGCACTTCCCCGGCTGCAGACTCCAACTTTCCCAAACCTGCACTTCATGCATACGATATACCTGAATCGTTATACCGATGCCTGTCAGGATACGGCGCTAGCTATCTCCACAACTTTTTACATCACATAGAGTGCGCGGCTGCCTACTTCCCTTCCTTTCCACCAATCCTTCAGCCCAACCATACCCCCAAAGCAGTGAGAAGGTGCCCTTCGCGACAGTGCCCCTGAGGTCTGTCAGGCCTTCGCTCTGCAGGCCTGAGCTGTTGCTGAGGTTGCCATATGTGTCCTGGAATACAGACCCTCCCCATTTTTTTTATTTGCTCGATAAAATGTTTTCATTGCCGGCCACCAAAAAGCGACAAATGAAGGCAAGGGGTGAATCAACGAGGGGTAGAGCGAGGGAAGACGACAAAAACAATAATGAATCCGGGGTCGCGGACGGGAACTTTGAGGAAGGGTTTTTAGGCGCCAAATAAACCTTCACTCCTCGCGTTCCAGGTGGGGTGCACACGCCAAGTGCTCCGTACCACAGTTCTGCTTTTACTGCAATAGCAATTATATGAACAGTCTCAATGGGTTTCTATCACCCTCGTTGCCGTAAGTGTCATGTCGTGTACAAAGTCCAACTTGTGCACTACAATTTTCGTATAACCAGCATTCCGACTTAAGCTCCATTTTCTGTATATTTCAAGAAAATATGTTATACACAAGGAAATACGTTCATGCAGTGTTTGGCCAGGTACGGCCGAGTTAGCGAAATTTCAGTGCATGCACTTGCTGGTAAGAAAGGACGAGTCATAATCATCATATCTTATCAAATTTCGTGGTCTACGATGAAATTTTGCTATAACGAACTTTTTTACGCATCCTGTCAATTTAGTTGTAGCAGGATTTGACTGTAGCACAGTCTACTGCGCCTCTGCATTTTTTCACATCACATAAGTGCCAAGAAAATGAAAACAATGGAAGATAGCCAAAAAATCAAATGACAAAATGCATAGACAACACGAAACCACCTGGCACAAAAGTGGGCTAAGTTGAGATCACAGCTGGGAAAGAAGCCTTGGTGCAGCAATGGGCATAGTGCGGTAATAAATAGTTTGCAGCTTGCTTGGCTAGGCAACCAATTCAACCAAGAAAGCCACCACATAACCTGATATTTTCAGTATTTCTTCAAACTCCCTTAGCACACTGGATGCTTTATCAATGCATGTTTTCAAAAACCAGATGGCTACACCAACCACTTGATGAGCCTCCCTGCTTTACCACGGAAAAAAAAATGTCGAAACAAACAACTCACCTGGCAAGGAGCAGGCACACGGACAGTACCCGGCCAGTTGTAGTACAAGTGTGTGAGCTTGTAAGTGAGTCGCTGAATGTGGTCAGGCGACAGCCCAGTTGAATTCCGCAACACAATGTAGTGTGTAGGCGACACTGTTCCTTGCCGCACCTTCTGGGACACTAGAAAGAAGTCGCACCTACACAGGGAGGATGAAAAGAAGAAGACAGTCAGTGGGACAACACTCCAACGCGCGGTTTCATGCAAGAGCAGTAGCCGATGCAATGGCGTGGCGTAAAAAAATCTTCTTGGGAAAGCGGATGACTACAACTCAAAAAAGATATTCACTGTGCTCTCTAAGTGCTGTTGATCATTATGAAAATGAAAGACCTGAAAATACTGTGCATTCTTCGAGTCGGTGCTGTGAATATACTACATCAACAGAGGCGGACTGGTTCGCGACACTGCATAATAAAACGATTGGCCCTCAATGACTTGAATCTTGTCAGAACGCCTCATAGACTCCTTTTCTAAAGAACCTGCATAACTTCAGTCGAAATTCACCGCTAAAAAAGAATGATAAAACCGCAGCCGCACGCTTCTCTTCTATGCGAGCAGCAAGCTTCCCGCATGCCAAATTGGTTGCCAGACCAGAAAAGGGCCGCCCACTAGCAAGATGGCGGCGCCTACGTAAAAAACGTCTATAAGTAAACATATTTAACAAATGCACTCTGAATGTTCTGAGCACGTGCATTGAACGTGAAAAAATATGCATATCTGGCCAAAATAAAACCCCTGATCCAGGCAGTGAGCAAGTCAGCTCTTTGATGTTCGGAAGAGCCAGGATGTGAACACACAAGTTAAAAGTAACCACAGATGAAAGTTTGAAGGACCCGCAATAGTTCGACATCGCAGTCACAGGTGCTAGGAAATGTAGAAATGGTGCCATCTGAAGGCATCAGTGTGAAATGAGAACACGGGAGCCTAGCCGGTTCTGTCACTGGAGTATAATCTAGTTTACTATATTGGCTCTAGGCCGTGCCGCTTAGGGTGTGGGTTAAATTGAATTTGAGCGACCTGAACTGCTGTATTTACTGACTCAACTAATTAGGGTGTGAATTAGATTACTTCTCATTCGACCTGGATTGCTGTATTTACCACTTATTTGCACCCCCCTCCTAATCTGCCCACCATTAAAATGTATCGTATGTACTCGCATAATCCTCACACTCTTTTTTGGCAGAAAACAGATGCAAAGTTGGGGGGTGCGAGAATTACGTGGGGAAAAGCTGCACGAAAACATAGAGAGCGAAAAAAGAAAAAGTGGCCGCAAATTGGGTTCTCACACCAGCAATTAACAGAAAGCTTTGAAAAGTACTAATTAAAATTTACCTCAACAATAAAAGCAGAGGTTCAATACAAGGCAAGATTTAGTTAAGTGCAAGCAAATTGTCGAGAATTAGAACACCAAAGCAAAGCTTGTGGGCGTTGTGGGCGTAGCGGTAGCGTTCGTCGCTCGACAGGAGCCCTCAAAAAGTAAGCGTAAGATGTCAGTATTGGGCTTATGGCTATTTAACAGAATTGTCACAGTTTCTTTCTGAAGAAATAAAGTTTACCATTAATCCCAGTATTAAGCACACGGCAGGCCCAACGCGTCTTGGTGGCGGCTTTCAAGTGCCGTCACCAGTAGCGAAAACAAAACTTGTTGACTCCGATCTGTTGACGTTATTAGTGCACAATCAATCACTTTCAACTTGAAAGCAGTCGTGTAGCTTCAGCATTGCCCCATAACGTGACAAGATTACCAACACAACATACAAAAGACGCCGCAGGGCGCACTTGCCGCTTTGGCTTGGTTTGGATTTGGATTGAATCTCTGTGCAATATTAGTATGCTTGATACTTCAGAGATGGCGCGCGCTATCATCATCGGCTAGACCGAGCAGACGACATTATCGTGGCAGTTTTCGGTGGTGAGTTAATTACTCTAGAAAAAAAATCGTATTTTTGTTGGGCATTGTGCAGGGTGCGAGAATTATGAGAGTGCGAGGATTCCGCGAGTAAGTACGGTGCTTTTCAGCAAAAAAAAAAATGAATAACTACTACTCGCTTATTCTGTGTACCTTGCCTTGACTTCCAGTAATGACAACGTTGTAAGTACAGAGCCGTACTGCAAAATTTTCTTTCCTTCTTTCGTACTTTTTCTGACGAGCACATGCATGTTTGTATTTTATGTCTCTGCGCTTTGACAACTGAACTGCAACAAAAATCATTGGACCGCTGAAAGCTGGGGACAGCGTTTAAAAGTGACGACGTTTGAATATGCAGTGGTAAAATGGAATTTGTCAATATGCAACAGCTTTCTTGATTCCACAGATGAATCCCGAATGTTGGCAGTTACCTTGATTTACATACTCTGCTGGAGATGTGATGCTAAATAATAATTGCGGAAATATTTAGACAACCTCACGAAACTGAAATGAGAGATTTAGCTGAAGATACTCCAGTGATACCCTTGAAACACGAGTTACCAGCGATAAGTGTGTAGCTGAGAATGTTTGCTATTGCATAAAAATATTATAATAATAAGCAGAAGAAGAAGACGAAAAAGAACAAAAGGCATGAGTAGCCTGCCAAGCTTCTGCTGATGGCCGTCTAGCCTACACACAAACCTGACGGCCTTCAAGCCAAGCCGAAATCGTGGCCTAGACAAACATGCATAACTATACAGACGTGAGTAATGTGGTTCGAAAGTAAGATATGCCATGTGATATGTAAAAGCAACAGACATCAAAATCATGGGTATACCAACATTGAAGCTAAGGAATGCTTTAGCCGATGTGAAGGACTAGTTGCCAAGCATAAATTTCTTTGGTCTTGTTTATGCCAAAGGCTGCAACAATTTTTACAACCAGCACATCGGTGAAACTGGTGATTTTAAGAAAAAGAGAAATAAGTCACCACAAAATGACACATGACCTCGACTGCCCTGGCTGAACATATGAAATCTACGGACCATAAAATAGACTTGCAAAACGTGTGTGTTCTGGACAAAGAAAAAAACCGACATTTTCCCACGGAGAGGGGGGGCACTCGAGTAAATGCGTCACAGGGTGGTGGGGGTATAGCGTGAATGTTACGTATATTAGACTCATGATAATTGTAACTGATAATTCATACTTTTGGGTATTTGAAGCCAAATTCCATTTTTTGGTTGGCTCTTATTCTTTCGAAGTATTTAAAAGCCTCTTAAGGGGAGATGCTACTCGAAGACACTTTTTTTTTTATTCACCCTAGAGCAATGAAACTTGAGCTGTTTATGGAACTTTTTATGCTATGAAACTTGAGCTGTTTATGGAACTTTTTATGCTGATTTCAAATATATAATTAGTTTTCTTGCAAGTTGCATACTTTTAGCTCTGTAACATGACAAAGTGAAAACCTTAACCCTTTAGCCCACCTCTTTTCATCCCTGAACTTCCGTAATTTTTTACCATTCATAGTTTGTAATGTTTGAAATAAAGTGAAGAATGCAAATAACTAATTAGAAATGCACATACAAAATTTAAAATAGGCATGAAAAATAATAGACGTAAAAAGTACATATTTCACCTACCCTAGTAAAGGTTTAAAAACAATTTTTTGGTATACAATAAAATATTGAAATTTAGATTATATAACTGCATTTGCATACTTTGTTATTTATGTTATTATGTTATTTATGTTATTATGTTATTTGTTATTTATGTTATTTATATTATGTTATGTTGTTATTTATGAAAGATTTATTTAAACCTGATGAAATTTGACAACCAAAAAGAAAAATTTTTCTTGTAGTGGCCACTGCCACTAAAATACGCCAGCACCATAAGTTTGTCCCTTTCGGCTTTTTCGAACCGAATCCTCACAGACATTTCGCTCACAGACAGGGCCATAAAACACTTGCCAAACTTCCGCTCCATCTGGCAGAGCCATGTGCGAACTGCAAGCTAAGAAGGAGTTCGACAGGACTGCAAAATCGAAACTAAGCCCAGTGTCAAGCCATTTTGCAGCCATGTTTGTGCCACATACCGTCGTACATAATGGCAATGTCGTCCCTGCTAAGTTCTACGATCCCTCACTGCAAGCTCTTTCGACCTCACAAGATTGGCGCTGACGTCATACATTGCCGCATCACGAACTTTCTCGCTGACGGGTGCGAATGACTTTTGATGCATTGGCTTTTGCAAGCCAACAACTGCCGCAAATCGAACCAACTGCTTGTAGCCTATTCCTACAGAGCGTGCCGCACAACGGCTTTCACTTGCGAGCAATGGCTTTTTTCATTCATAACAGAGGTAATTACACGAGAAAAGCATTGTTCAGCTGCACTGCTTGACAAGACATGGACCCCGCAAATAGGCGTCGCACCACATACAGGCGCACAGGGGCCAATGGCGGTCCCCCGATCTGTACCACGTGATAAGCCAGTCGCGGCGCTCGAAAAATGCGCAGAAACGTGCTTCTTTTTATTATTTCTTGTGCTGTATCAGCGAGGGAAACTGTTGTTATTTGAAGAGTGAGGCTTGAATCTTCGGCTCGTGTGATCAATGACGAGCGGCAGCGCATCAACGGCGGCAAGGTGCTCGAAGACTCCACACTTTGGACCTTTTAACAGGCACCTTGTGCTCTGCTCTTTAGATGCAATTTCAAAGCATTTCCAGTTAAGTCTCGACCTGTAATTTTTTTTTTTTTTTCATAACAGTAGAGGTACTAATGTTATCAAAACAGGCAAAAATTAAAAATCTGTTATTTTGAAAAAAACTCGCGTTTTTCGACCCGCATCTCCCCTTAAGGTGGTAGGCCACCTTCAAAAGTCGTTTTTTTTACGAAATAAATTTTTAGGGTTTTGTTTTTCTTGCATGCCCAAACATTCACATATATGTTGCAACAAAAATTATCCTCCTAGCGTCATTAGGTTGCGAGTTACAGCAAGTTTTCTGTACCCTATGCTCCTATAGCAAAACCGAAACCACAATTCCAACTGCGATTTCGGTTTCGAAAAAACTCCATCTGTGCCCCCACGTGAAGTGAATGATACACGTAAGTAGCCTACATAATTTGCGAACAGTGACATAGAAAGAAAGCGGCCTTGTCCACAAGATTTATGCAGGGGTACGTTCGCCTAAGCCGTTGAACTGTTATAAAAGATACGCTCACG